GCTGTCCTTGCGCCTGCTGGGTGGCTGCCCCTGGCACACCCGCCTAGGCAGGACCGCTGGGCACTCCCCAGCCAGGACACACCTTGTTCCAAGGTGCACGCGTCCGGAAGGGTGGCTTTCATTTCTCAGCCTTAGAGGTGGTTTCGGAAAAATCCCAGCAGATTGAGCAGAAGCAGGCACGGTGGGCTGCTCCTGTAATTTTTCTGGGCGTCGGGATAGAGGCTGATCTGGGAGAGGATTCACGGAAATGCAATTTAAAGGAGAAAAGCTCCGAGGCAAAAAATTTTTTTTTTTTTACCCAGAATATCTAAACCTCTTTTTGAGTCTGACCTCACTTTTGAATCTTGACTAGGAGGCCCTACTAATTTCTCAGCCTCAGCTGTATCATTTGCACCCGCACAGTATTGATTCATATTCCAGAACCTCTTGTCGTTAAGGCTCTGTTTACCGCAGTGCTGTAAATCAGAGTGAACAGTGTTATTGTTCTTTAAATAAAATGCCACCTTGATAGGCTCCCTCAAAACTGGTGTGTCTTGCCAAGTATGTTTAGTTTTCAAAAGAAATCAATGTTACCATAGTACTTAACATTGGTTTATTACATTTTTATGAAACAAACTCAAAATTACATTTATCTCCTTCTTTCTCCGCAAGTCAAATATTTTTAAGTGGCATGAACCTTTCCTCTTCTTATCATGTGTTTATTTTAAGGCCTGTTTCTGGGTAGATAAGCTCTGGCTCATTTTAAAATACGTTGTACAATGTGATTTGCCTGGACTTGAACTGAGGGGACAATGTTATTTCAAATATAACAGTGATCGATTTAGAGGCTATGAGGACTTCACATCTCACAGCTCACCTAAATGATTCAAAAATGACTTTTTTTCCTTCCAGGGGGGGCATGATTAATTAGTTTTATAATATGTGGGGTATTTCAGCACTTTCCTGATTCTTCCATCTGAAATCTTTGGGGTTAAATCTTTGAGGGTTTAACATTGGTATATCATTAGCATCCATTGCTATTTATAGCATATAGTTCTATTTCAGCTTGTCTACTTAAAAATAGTATTTTAAGATAAATTTCAATACATTTGGCTG